CGATTAACAGATAGCGGATGTGTTAGCGGGTTTGACCAGCAGATTACATTAGCGGTTCGTAAAAAGATGTTTGGTAAAATTAGCTTTTTACTATTAGCGGTTAAATGTAAAAAGACATATAAGGACATTCATAATGTTGTTATTATTATTATTATTATTATTATTATTATTATTATTATTATTATTATTATTATTATTGTTATTATTATTATTATTATTATTATTATTATTGTTATTATTATTATTATTCATTTTTCTTATTATTTTTATTGTTATTATTATTAATATTATTGTTATTATTAATAGTATTAGGAATAAGGTTCAAATGGGCCACTGAACATAACCTGAAAATGCAATTAGGCCACTGAACGAAAAAAAAAAAATACAATTAAGCCACTGAACACTCTAAATGTATGCAATTTCACCTGATAGCAGGTTACCATCAATTTTAGCAGGTTATTTGCTTACGTGGCAGCTGAGTTGTCATTTTTAATAATTTTAAATACTTTTTAATAAATTTTAATAATAAATTAAAAAAAAACAAAAAAAACGACGGGGTTTATTGTTTTTATTTTTTATTTAGTTTTTTTTTAAAAAAAAATTATTATTAAAAATTATTAAAAATGTCAACTCAGCTGCCACGTAAGCATGTAACTTGTTAAAATTGATGGTAGCTTATTATTATTATTATTATTATTATTATTATTATTATTATTATTATTATTATTATTATTATTATTATTATTATTATTATTATTAATGCCCATACACCATTGGTCACTGCCTAGAAAGAATGATTTTTTTTTTTTTATTGAAAATTTGGGTAAATATGCTATACTTATACACTATACCTATACCGGATACAAATTTTGTTGTTGAAAGCACACAAACACTTTGTAAATAAAGCCTATAATTGAATTGAAACCAATAAAATATATAAGAGAATTTTGAGAAAACATATGCTTGATTAAGGTTGGCCTATTAATTGGCGTTTTGTGTTGAGAGTATAAGAAGAAGATACACTATGATCGAGAGGGAGAGATCATACATCAATTTTACGTTAAAAAAAAAAAAGAGGGGTAGTTTTCTCTCATGGTTATCTTTTTATTTTTCCCTAAAAACTATGAAATTAAAATACCAAGGGGACATGAGATTCTAATTCCATAAAAATGATGGAATTGCAATCTCGCAGAAGTGCAATTCCCTCAAACCAAACGAAGAAATTTGCTTGCCTTCGAAATTATGTGGGAATTAAGTGAGAATGGAATTATAATTCCTTCCAATCAAACGACTCGTTAATGTAGTAAAGGTTATAGGTCAAACCCTTTGCATAATTTCTGAGTGTTTTCTTTTCCATGATACTGATATGATAAATATGTGAGTTACATGTTATTTGTTTTAATCTTTTGCCCCCAATTGATGTAGTATAGGCCAAGAGCTCAAACTCTTTGCATAATTTCTGAGTGTTTCATTTATTCCACGACACAAACACAAATGTTTTATTTTTTTTTCAAGACGCACGCACAATAATCGAAATGTAAATTAACAATATACCATATTATTGTTTAGTCGACTAGTAACAAATTCCATTTGAATTAAGTTATTTTCTTAGCTAGCTTATATCTTTAATTTGACGATAAGATAAATAGGTGAATTACACATTATTTGTTTTATTCTTTTGCCCCACTTGATGTAGTAAATGTCAAGAGCTCAAACTCTCTACATAACTTTTGAGTATTTTATTTTTTCACAACACACGCACAATAATTCACGACGCATGCAAAAGTGTTTATTTTTTCAAGACGCATGCATGACACACACAATAATCAAAATGTAAATTAACAATGTACCATATTATTGTTTTGTTTTTTTTTTTTTTTTGTTACCATATTATTGTTTAGTCAACTAATATTAAATTACATTTGAATTAAGTCATTTTCTTAGCTAGCTACTTTAATTTGATGATAAGATAAGTAGGTGAATTATACACTATTTGTTTTAATCTTTCGCCCTCCTCAATAAAATTTTTTGTTACGCCATTGGATACGCTTTAATAATAAGAGACATTATTATCTTACACGCACTTTCAAAATATATGTTTACGATTACCCATAATTAAAGTGATTTTTTTATATTGTCATTTTTCATTAGACTTTTTTTTTTTTTTTCAAAAGTGATACGTGATATCTATGATAAGAACGTGTAAGGATCGGATTTATGTTTAATATCAGAGAGTTATATCGACAGATAAAAGTTGAAACAAATTATATCATGCATCATTCATCTTAGTTTACCAAAATTTAGTCTTATATTTTTTCAAAAGAAATATAAAATTAAAAAATTCAACCAATATTTTCCTTTTTCATATCCTACAAGTTGAAATATAGATATATCATATTTTCTAAAACTTTCAATCAATATTGTTTTTAAGATTCTATGTAATATAAATATACTACTATAATTGCAATTATTGGAGATTTTTTTTTTTCATTAGAAAGAAGTTATTAAATGTAAAAAGAAGAAAAAAAGACATTAAATTGGCAACCCTTCTTTTAACTTTTTGTAAAATATGCTAAGAGAATTGAGTAATTTTGAAGATATAAAGGGGTAAATTTGGAAAGTAATTGTAAGAGGTACAATGAAGAAAACACAAAGTATGGTCTATCAATGCAATCTATAACACCAACACATTTTTTATTTCAGTTAATATTTAGCAAAACTGGCTTATATTATATTTGCTAGAAAAGAATAGATTAAAATTCTACATTAAATGCATGGATGATTACATCTTAATTTTTTCCCCTCATTTTTTTATTCAATTGTTCAAAAGTAGAGAATGAGAACTGACAACGGGATAGGACAGGGGCGGAGAGTATACTCCCGTCCCCGTTTTCATCCCCATCTATCCCACGACCCCGACCCAATCAACCCCCTAGTCAAAGTGTCAAATTAGTATAATTTTTAATAATCAAATAAAAAATTTAAAAACATAAGTTTTAATTTCAAAAATTAAAGTGCTAAGTCTATAGTTCTTCAATAATCAACATCCAACGTTCAACGTTTTCTCCATCTTCGTCCTCGTTGGGAGAACCAAAAAAATTGTCCATCACTAGAAGAGAAATTGCATTTATGATTACTAACGAATTTGAATATATCTAATAATAGAGTATCAAAAGTCAACTAATAAACATGGTAATTAGAATATATAAAATCATATAGTAGGTTGCAACCAAACCACACCTTAATAATCATTCTTTTCAATTTATGAAAATAGGTGAGTAATTACAATTTTAAAATTTGGATACACATCTAACATGAATCATGAATTAACCCATATGAAATTCGTTGTGAAAACCTTCCTCAAAGAATAAAATTAATCTAAAAAAATTTCAATGAAATTTGTTGTGATTTTTGATCTTATCATGACTATGAAAACTGTCATTATAATTGCATAATTATATTCTTATTTTTTCCTCACTTTTGATCTTTCCAGTGAAAAATCCAATAAAATTCTATAATATTTTATTATATGACTTGCAAATCACCAAAATTTAGAGATAAATATGACCATCCAAAGCCAAAACTACAACAACTCGATCAAAAACATTTTTGTAAATTTATATGTTTGCCCTTGAATATTGGTCACTCATAAGTTATGTGACAAAATTTTAATAAGTTTAAATAAAATGACAATTTTCTTAATTATGAATTAATACTGAAAATGACATCATTTTTTTTGGTTGTTGTTGTGATTAAAAAAAAAAAAAAAAGTGGTACAAACACAATTGAATACAATTAATATTTTTTTTGAATGCTACTGGCCCTATTACATTGTAGTATCTGTTCATATACTTTCTCAACCTACTGAAACACAAAGAGCCAATAACGCCTCCACTGAGGCTCGAACTCACAACCTTCCAAATGGAAGTCCAACCCGGATACCATTAGACCACATAGTCCTGGTAAATACAATTAATATAGAACTAAACACATAACTAATTAACCCATCA